CGGAAGAAAAAAAAAAAGAATTTCCGAAAGCAACTGGAATTCCGTCGGGAATTTTTTCCTTTCCGCGTTTTACGAGCGAAGTCGAGAGAGAGAAACTCACGTTGGCGAGGAGGATTTCAAAGTTGACGACTTTTTCCATCTCGACCGTGGCCCTTTCGGGGTCGGCCCCGAGGAGGAAGGCAACATCCGACATGTACTTCTGGTAGGCCGTCACGTGGTACTTGCTGCTGTTCTTGAGGAAGTACTCCCTGGACGGCAAACCCAGGTTCATCTGGTCTATCTGAACCGAAACCGACCATCTCTAGCATGGAGTGACAGGGGGGAAGGGGCAGAGGGGGGGCAGAGGGGGGGCGGAGGGGGGGCAGGGGGCGGAGGGGGGAGGGGGGACGATCGAGAAAAGGACCTGAATGATGTTCTCATTGGAGTTCTTGTCGTCCGGGCCGACCCACTGCTCGATGAGGATCGGGAGATTGTAGTCTTTCCGGATGATGGCGACCAGTTTCTCCACCGTCATCCCGTGCGGGGGAGACCAGCTGGAGTTTGTCACGGGGAAGCCGCCCAGGCTCTTCAGGACTTCTTTGAGGGCGAGGTCGCCGACTTGCTCTCGTTGGGCTGTGGGGGGGGGGGAATCGTCCTTGAATTGTCCTTGAATTGTCCTTGAATCGGGGTTGAGTTTCTTTCTTACTCATGTTCATGCAGGACTTGTAAAATAGTTTTGCTTTCCGAGTTCCTTTGTTGTCCCGTCGGTTGAACGGCTCCTCCAACAAACCTGTCGGTTAAGGCCTCGGTTAAGGCGTTTCGGGACGAAGAAGAGACGGCCTCCCACCTTTTCGGCCTCCCACCTTTGAGTACGATCTGCAGCTTGTCGGACATGACCTCGAAGGTGGAGATGGAGCTTCGGTCCTCGGGGATCACGTGCTGCCGGTTCCACGTCCCGCACGCATACTGGAAGAAGTCGTCGCACGGGTCCGCCGTCGGGTCCATCGCCGACAGTAACGACGCCGCTGGGAACGAGCGGTGGCAACGGTTACTTTGGGGTCGGGGGGGGGGGGTCGACGGGGAACGGGGAACTGTTCTCACCGGTTTTGACACATTCACTCGTGAGGCACACATCGGGACCGGCTGGAAACGAGAACGGGAATTCCAGGAATGAAATTGCACTGCATCATGCGCCTTTAATGGCAAGGCCATCATTCGCAATGGCAATTCAATGGCAAGGCCACTATTTAAAAAGGAAACACCTATTAGGCTTAAATTCCTTCTCAAAGCGCCTCAGCCTTTCTGGATACAACACGTGAAATCTTGAAAGAAAGAAAAGCAGAAATTTTAGGTCGAGTCCTCCGCACCTCACCCCGATTTTATCCCCACTCCCATTTCACCCTCACCCCGATTTCATCCTCGCCCCCGATTTCACCCTTCATCACTCTCACCCCCATTTCGCCCTCATCCGTACTTGATCCTCAGCCTAATTTCGGGAGAAATCCAATGGATGGCTTGAAAGAGCCGGAGCAAATGAAACGCATCCAATATCGCCGACCTCCCTTAATGAAACCCCTGAACACACAAAGCGGGACCGCCCTCCACCTGCCACGGCATACGAGGCGGGACCGCCCTCCACCGGCCACGGCATACGAGGTGGGTCTGCCCTCCACCTGCCACGGCATACGAGGCGGGTCTGCCCTCCACCTGCCGCCTGCCGCCCCAGACGGCGACCTTCGAACGGGATATCCGCGGATGGGGGAAAGGGAGCCGGGGGGGATTAAGGGGGGATTACGTGACGGGTTCATCTCGCGCGATTAGAGGGTTATAAATCAAGGAAAACATGTGTGGAACGACAGACGGTTGCATAATGTCTTCTGGTTTCAATGAGAGGCGCCCCGAGGCCATCCGAGCCGCCCTCGAAAAAGAAGGCGGCCTGCTCAGGTGCATAATTCTGGTGGTTTTTTTTCCACGGCGGCGAACGAAATCGTCATGCAGATAGTCGTCGTTTCGATCCTTGCTTTTAATCCGCTGCTTAATCCTCCTTCGAATCCCGTTCTATACTCCGTGCCGTTCTATACTCCGCCTCGTTCTATGCTCCGTCTCGTGCAAACTCATGCATGTTCATGTGTTTGCAGGGCAGGCAATAGCGTCAGAGGAAATCGCTTTGCATGCGAAGGGGAATTCCTCCCCTTGCATAATCCATGAAGAGACCTTGGTTAAGCTCGCAGATAAACACCGGGGTTGTTTGCATACAGTGGCGAGCGACACCGGCGCGATATCGGTGCGATATCGGCGCGGCTCATTGTTCCTCGGGGGAAGTGTGGCCATTGTCATGGAAAGGATTCGCCCGAATTTCGCGGATATTCAGCGGTTCTCGCGAAGACGATCGTTACCGGGGAAGTTAACCGCCGCGTTAACCGACGCGGAGACGCGAAAACCTCGCGATTCTCATCGGCTGCTGAATTACAGCTTAAAAAAAAAAGCGAAATACGAAAAAAATACGAAAACAAGTTTTATCTGAGGTCACTGGAGCTATCTCGCTTGGAAACCGTTTGTTGACGGGAAAACTGCCGGCGTATCAGTTTTCCTGGCTGTTTTTTCCTCTTCTCAGTCGAAAGGCAAAAAAAAATGGTCGTAAGAGCGGGACTCGTGACTCCGAATGACTTTTTTCTCATTAAAAACGTAATAAATACTCAATTATTGAATCGAGTGACGTCACGCGATTCCAAGTTCGTCCTTCCCAAGGTCGCCGGATTCGATCTGATCCGGCGAGGGGCACTCTCGAGGCAGGCGACCGTCCGGCCAGGCGATTTCGCGCTGTTCGGCGCGTCTTCGCACTCCTCCGAAAATTTTTGCAAATGTTTGCTTGCCGAAATGAGTTTGTGGCAAATAGCTTTGCAAAAATTCCAATTGGCTCGGGGGGAAAGAAAAAAAAGTTCCCTTTGATTTACCGGATTATCCGGCAATTTCATTTAGCAATCTTTCCGGCTTTCGCACGAGGGAACTTTGTGCGTTCCATACCGGAACGCGGTCGCGTTCCGGCACGAACGCGGTCGCACAACTAGCTAACGGGCTAACGAGCCCGCTCGGCCCAGAATTTTGTTGGCCTCGCGGTCAAATGGAATGAAGATGGCCTTGCTCGAGATTGCAAGGGGGCGGGGCTGAATTTTGACTCGGTCGGCCCGACTCGGTCGGTCGGGTCGGTCGGTCGGCCATCCGGTTTTTCACGACTTCAAAACGACTTCAAGGGACCCTTGAAGTCGTTTTTACCGCAATCTCGTTTCAACGTTTCCGTTTTTCCTTCTGAACTTTTTCCTTTCGAGAATTTTTAAATTCCAATAAAAAATTCCTGATTTTTCTTTGATTTTGCATCGGATTAAAAAAAAAAAGAATTTTAATTTAAAAAAAAAGAAAATATCAATCTCCCGCCTTCAGTGATAAACCTGCCACCACGCCAAATTTAGTAGCTTAAAGTTTCCCGGAAATCCCAGAACATTGATCCACATCTAATCGGCTTTGTGGTTATCCAAATCTAATCTAATCTAACTCATCGAAGAGTCATCCGAGAGCTTTAAAGCATCGAGCACGGTTGGACCGAGCCGAGAATTTACGAACTTTTCGCAAAACCGAAAAGTTAGGAAAATGCAGAAAGGAACCGGTTACCAGTTTTTGGTTACCGGTTGCCGGTTCATTTGAATCTCGTGATGCGAAAGCCGCCTTCTTCCGATCGCATACTAAAGAAATAAAAGTTTTCGCCGTTGAGAAACGCTTTAAACCTCTTTTAGCGTCGCTAAAGGAGGTTTAAAGCTCCTTTAGGAAAGGAGGTTTAAAGCTCCACTAGGAAAGGAGGTTTAAATCTCCTTGTGCAATCCACTCCTTGTCACTGATGCATTTCACGAGTTTCGCTTAGCGCGCCCATTTCATTAGAGGGAGTCGATGACTCCCTCTCGTTCGTAGACAGGGGCCAACATGAAGCTCATGTTGGCCCCTGCGTAATTCATGACAACGGGAACCCGAAACCTCTTCCTTTCTCAGCGCGATCTCATTCCTTCCAAAATTCCATCGCTTTTATTTTTTCGCTGTTCAAAAATGGAGACTTGAGGAGGAGACGAAAGAGAAGGAATTCTACGGCGTGGATTCTCTCTTTAACAGATGCAGAAATGCGGAAGCGGTTCCCGTTCCGCTCGGAGAGACACCTGGTGCTGATTGAGTGCAACTTTTTTTTCTCAGTTTTCTTCAAGTTTCAGTTTCTTCGTTTCTAATTCTTGCTTGCGACTCGTGCGGGCATTTTGCTTTTTTCTGCACTTTTTAAATTTTTTTTGTTTTTGTTTTGTTTTTGTTTTTTTTTTATTTTATTATTTTAAGCTGAGAGATTCGACTTTCATCGAGATTTTGCCGTCTAAGAAGTCTGTCGCCTTCTGCGATGGAAAAATCCATTCCAGGCCTGGCTTCTCGGTGTCTCGCGAAAGTGGGAATTTCGCTCTGCTCTTTCCCGCGAAAATCCTCAGGCTCTTCACAAGACGAGGATTCCGAGAATCCAATCCCGAGAGAACGAGAGAAGGAGAGACGAGAGAGAGAGAGAGAGAAATCCGCTTGAAGCTTTCTTTCCGGCTGTGCATTCGCAAAGAAGGAAGAAGCGATGAGGGGGGAAGTGGGAGGGAGGGGGGGAGGGGGGCAAGTATTTACCTGAGGATTCTTCCTTGGGGATTTTCTCGGAATCCAGCGTCATCCGGAACAAAAGTAAAAGAAACATACTTCCAAGTATGAGTCCTCTCTATGTCAATGCATCGTGCAGCTTCATTATAGAGAATCAACAGAGTATAGAAGGCTCGAGGTCCCTCCGTCCCCTGATGCCTGTCCCCTGATGCCTGCCTATCCCCTGATGCCTATCCTCTGATGCCTGCCTGTCCCTTGATGCCTGCCTGTTCCTTGATGCCTGCCTGTCCCATGGTTTCTTTTCGAGAAGTGACCCCCCTTCAATTGAGAATCGGGGCAACCGCCGTTCGCGGTTGCCTTTCTTACAAAACAGCTAAATAGGAAATATGAGCGCTTCACAGCCGTCACTCTCGTGCCGAGGGGATGGGCGACCTGATGCGTGCGACCTGATGCACCCCCGATGCAAGACCCTTCGTCCCAATTAACCGACCTCGATCGACCGGTCGATCGAGTCGGCGAAATTGCCTTCGCAACCGGCGTCTCGGCACGGCTTCACGCTCCGACACCCGACAATGGCGCGACGGGGAATCGGCTGGAGGTCGGGGAATCGGCTGGAGGTGGGGGAATCGGCTGGAGGGTCCGAAGAAAGGGAAACTGGATTGTCATCGGGGCTGGATTCTCAATCGAGACGGTTCGTCATCGGTTGCGCCACCTCCCTTGCCCCTGGCGGAGGCAGGTTTTCTTCCTATTTCTTTCAACTCGATGTTTCTGCACACCGTTTGAGGGTCCTCCGTGCTTTATCGATATGAACCCTTTCGGGGGGGGGGGGGGGTGCTGTGGCTTGAGGCGGGCGGCGAAAGATCTTTTTTTCGCATTTGGGGCTCGATGAACGGATAAGTTCGATTGTGATGCAGTTTACAGGAAATCCGACTTACTTCTCATTCCTGAATTTTCAAGGCCAATCTTTGGGGAAATTTTCGAGGGCGACTGGGTAGCAACTGTGAAGCCAGACTCCGGGGTCGCCGTCTTGCCTAAAATTCGGCACAAAACTTTTCGATTCATTTAGCCGTTGAACGGGAAAAAAAGCTGAAGTTCCTCGAGGTCGCCCTTCGACGAGAAGGGATCGAGAAATGATTTTCGCTGCACGAGACCCATCGAGGAAAAGCGGCGCTAATCGATGCCATCGCGAGGATCACGAAAAGAAGAAATTCGGCTGACCTTTCTTCACGACGGCGACCGAGAGGATGCAAACGCAGGCCACAACCAAAAAGATCACAAGAACGGCGAGAGCCTTCTCGAGCGGGGAGAACCTGGATCCGCCTCTCCTCGACAGCATGTATTTCACGGTCCCGGTTGAAGTGTCGGGGCTGGACTCGGGTCCGGCACTGTGTAAGGGGTTCTCCACTATCCGCACCACCTCCCCGTTCCTGTCGAGGGAGCCCGGGTGCCGCGTTCCCTTCTCGCCGTCGCTTCTCTTGGGGCGGAGGAGTCGCTTCATGAACCAGGGGGCCGCGGGGGAGATCTCCACGTGGGGAGCGTTCTTCAGGATTCCCGGCTCCTTGGTCATCAACGGGAGTCGCACCTCCAGGTTCTCGTCGCCTTGAGGGAAGTAAGCCACTCCCCCGTTCAAGGAGGCGCCGTTGTGATTGCCGTCCCCCTCTTCGCTCGTCGCCTCCATGCCTCTACCGTTCACACGACTGCATGCATCGACGCACTCGGCGGATGTTAATTGAAAGGGGCCAGGAACTCGACTGATTACAACCGGGGTCGCGTAGTGGGTCTTTAAGCTCCCGCGTCTCTCTCGCTTCTCCCTCTCTCGCCCCTTGGGGTCTAGGCTCTAATCAATACATCGAACCTCTCTCGCCTCCTGTCTTTCCCTGGACTCACTTCCTGGTTCCTCCTGCATCGGATTTCGATACGAGGGATCCGTCGATTCTCGCAGTGGCCTTTCGGTTTTTAAAGCCACGACTGGGTGCATCGGGGTGCATCGGGGTGCACGGGTGAACAGGTGGTGCAGCGTTTCGCGATGGCCACCGTGATGGAGCGACCGTCTGGCCTCTCTCTCGGCACGCGGTGATTACCCTGCGCTTCCCTGCGCTTCCCTGCGCTTCCCTGTGCTTCCCTGCGTTTCCCTGCGTTTTGGGTAAACCGACCTTGACCCGTGCGACCGTCTTTCCGCGTTTCGTCGGGCAAATATTTGCTCCGCGAAACCGAGAGTGTGGGGAGACGTTGTGACCTCTGGGTACAACACACGTCAGAGCCGGTTTACCCCATTAGTGGATATTTATCGAAGGGCTAAAAATGTAAGAAGAAACATATAGAGAAAGCGCTAGGCCCTGGAGTGAGAGAGAGAGAGAGAGAGAGGAGGGAGAGAGAGGGGGGGGGAGGAGAGGGAGGGAGGAGAGGGAGAGAGAAGGGGGGAGGGAGAGAATGAAAGTGCCTTGGTCATCAAATATTAATTTTAATACATCGCGTAACTACAGGAGGCTTTGACTCGATGAACGTTCATTACGTAAGGTGACCATAACGGTAACGATCGCAAGCTTACGCCGAGCCGTCGATGCTATCGGGGCAAGCGTAATTATTACTACCGTGGCTCGATGCTCATCGGTCAATGTTCGTCCGATGAAGTCTGATGAGGTCCGATGAAGTCTGATGAGGTCTGATGAAGCCTGATAAAGTCTAATAATGTCTGATGCTCGGTGAACCAGGCCTTGGGCTTTCGCGTGCCACCTTCGATCCTAGATCAAAGGCTTCCCCTTCCATTAATTGGGGTCGATGGCATCACTCTTTTTTATGCTCTATCGCGGAAATGTGCCTCGTGCCCCTCAAATGCGCTCCGTGCCTCTCAAATGTGCTTCGTGCACCTCAAATGTGCTTTGTGGCGATTTATTCGTCGATCCGATTCGCTCCCTCTTACTGCACAATCTGCCAGGGAACGGAACGATCCATTAGTGCCTCTCATCCCAGACAGTGGATCGAACTCTGGACAAATACTGCACTCCAGAGCGATTTTCCGTCAAACAATTTTAAGAGGATTCTTCCGGCTCGCATTTCCACAGCGACAGTCGCCGTTCCGACGTCAGTTGCCGCTCCGACGTCAGTCGAGAAGAACGCCTTAGATTGACGGATCGTGGCCGGATCTCCGGATCTTTTCCTTAAAAAAAAAAATCTGGATGAGTTCCAGAAAACTCTAAGGGAAGTGCAACTGCTTTTTCTTTCTTGACTCGCAGTCGAGACGAAATCCGAATTCCGATACACAGCGATTCACCATCGCGCCTGAAAGCGCGTAAAATCGAATCGCGGTCGCGAGGGCAGGGCGGCGGGACGGCACGCGGGAGGCCTCCGGGTTCAAGGCCGGCCTTGGGACTTCATCTTGGCTTCGTCAGGGACTGACGCCTCTCGCCTTTTTCCGGGTTGAGAGACTTCTCGTCTGAGATTTTATATTTTAAAGAGATTTTATACTTTAAAGAGATTTTATATTTTAGAGAGATTCTATATTTTATAGAGATTTTATATTTTATATTTCAGAAATTTTATGGAGAGGGAATGGAGCGATGCAAAGAATCCGCGGTCCTTCTCGAACTGACTCCCGGCTCTTGCTCGACTTCGCTCTCGGGCGGAACTGTTGGATTGGTCAGGGAGAGGGAGGGTTAACATCCGTTCCAGAGAGAAATTGCATTTCAATAAAGTTATAAAATTTTTAAAAATTTGCGCAGAGTGTTGCAAGACTTTCTTTCCAACCCAATAGTTTTAATTCGCTCGCCGTCTCAAATTGTATCAGATCAAAAATTAAACGGCGTTCCGGTCGATCGACGGTCTATTTTCGGAAGCGCGTGTCGCTCTCGTGTCGAGGAGTGGAACCACGATGCGACCGAAGGCCTCGACCGCCGACCCGAATCGCTCTCGGGCTGGGAAATTTGCAGGCCCCGAGAGTCCTGATTGGCAATTTGGCACGTGTTGACCGTGTGAGCGTTGGAGCTAACTAGGTACCTCACTTGTTTGCCGGATCGGTCGATGCGTTGAGGGATTGACCTTGGCCCGAGTCGATCGACAATTGACGAAAATGACAGATCGACAGATTGACGAAAATGACAGATTGACAAAAATGACGGCGACTGCGATTACGAACGATTGCGTCCGATCGCGGCCGCACGCTCCAGCCCGCACAAGGAAACACCTCGGTCCCCATCGATCGCGCGGCGATCGAGCGGCGATCGATGGCCCTCGATCGCCGCGCGATCGAATGCGAATTCCTCATCGGTTCGGAGCCCTCGGATGAATGATTAAAAGTGGAGCAGGTCCCCCCGCCCCGACACGCGATCACGCCATCCATCACGCATCCCCATATCACACGTTCCCCTGCGAGGCACGCGATGGAGCGGAAACGTTGTCTCTCGCCGGAGAAGCCCGCGGTGGTCCTTGAGCCTCAAGGACCGTATCGGGGGTCGCATCGACCTATTTTCGGTCGGCTGGGACGTCGGGAAATTCTTGCGGGCGAAATTTTTTTTCACTCGAGAATATTTCGTGACTCGGAAATGGAACGAACTCGATCGGTCTCGATTCGAGGTGCATGCATCGAGTCCAGATGCCCAGCGGACGCTCAGCGGATGCTCAGAGGATGCCCAGAGAAATCTTCTCGCGCCTCGAAACCCTCCCTCCAATTAATCATGCGACAGGCATCACTTCGGAGCACGAAGAAAATCGAAACCCCCTCGTAAAGCACTAACGAGTCCCTTATCTCCGCAAAGTTTTTCGATAAAAAAAAACGGGAAATGACGTTTTCCCGGAAATGAAATCCGCCGTTCGCTTAATGAGACTCGACGGAAGCGACCGCCGTGATTGCCCTTTCGAACGGATTAGCAATTAGAGGATTCTCGGAACCTCATCGGGTCCTCGAAGGAGGAAAACGGGGCCACGAGCGGAAGACCTTGATCCGGAAGGACAACCTTGATCCAGGGGGAGGCACTGATCCGATTAACCTCTTTCGGTTCTACGTGATTTCCCGTCTCCCTTTCGATCCTTCGAACGTGCTTCGTCTCATGGCTTCGTCTCATGGCTTCGTCTCAGGGCTTCGTCTCAGGGCTTCGTCGGCTACCGCTTCTGCTTTGGTCTCCTTCGCTCGGCGGAGCTTCAAGCCTTTCCCGAAGGCTGATCTAATATTTCCTCGGCGGAATATTGAAGGTTGGGATGTGCCTGGAATGCGCCTGGGATGTGCCTGGAATGTGCATGGGATGAACAATGATCTGTAACTGCTCTTCGGATCGTGATGCGATATGGCAAGGACATGCGAAGGCGTTCAATGATGCCTCGTGGGTTTCTTGGCGTTCCGTGATGATTCTTCCGCATTACAATTACGAATGCAGTGATAATTACAACGTTGATTCTCTCACTTAAATTCTAATTTAAATTCTAATTCTAATGCTGATTCTAATTTTAATCGTACCTCACCGTTTTCCCAACGAACAGTCTGACTCCCACGACCCTTTTACGGAAGAATGGGTTCATGCACGACGCAAGACTTTTCCAACTGGGTTTGGAGCATAGATTTGTCAGTTCGTCTGCAGGGAACCCGTCCGGCCGAATCCCCAGCATCATTAGCAAGGTCCGACGGAGTCACGGATGATAACGCAGGGGAAGGACGGTCGAGGAATGAGTCGTCTCGGGCGAATCCGATTAGAACAGGCTCGGGCAAATCTGATGAGAGATTGCTCTGCGTAAGGAATCCCCCGATTGCCCGATTGCTCGAGAGGATCCGGCGTCGCAAGTCTCCCCTGTCGACATTTCAGCAGCATCAGAGCTCATCAGACTTCTTCCCGCTGGGTTCAAAGTCGTTTCGGAGACTCGCGACTGCGACGAAAGTTTCCTCGACTCTATGAAATATTTGTGACTGCGATGGTTCAAGGCCATCGGCCTTCGAAAACCGGGTCCCGAGGTTGGTTCAAGCAAGCCGGGTGAGAAGCATTTAATTCCCCTTAGCCAGAAGGTGAAGCAAATCCTCGACTTGATATTCCTGAAATTCTCCTTCCATCTTGATCTGATTAAATCGCCACGGGACAGAAGAAGAATCATAATTGGCTTTCACCAATACGACGGAGCTTCCAGTTTCGTTTGTCTATTCCCCTTGCAGGATTGAAGAATAGCAATTGAGTTATTCCCCGAATTGGAATCGTTTTGAATCCTTACCTCAACGCAAGCAACGTCGAGACCCAAGCCAAGCAGGGAATGAAGGGAATGGAGCGATGCAAAGAATCCGCGGTCCTTCTCGAACTGACTCCCGGCTCTTGCTCGACTTCGCTCTCGGGCGGAACTGTTGGATTGGTCAGGGAGAGGGAGGGTTAACATCCGTTCCAGAGCTTCACTCGTCCCGCACCAGATGTCTCTCACGGAGAATCGGTCGCCACTTTCACATTTCCACGCCTAGGAAGAGGAGCATGGACGCTATGGAGTCCGCCTCCACCTTCGGCTGAAGAGTCTCCTATCTGGGAGCCTGAAGGGATCTCCAAGTGGAAGAGGCGGAGGTGGAGAAACTTTTGTACCGAATGCGAAAAAGTTCGTGGCACAACTCGGACTTATCCACGGAAGAGCTGACATCGTAAGTCGAGTTTTATTTAGGGATTGTAGATGTATGGGACGGGACGGAAGTTGAGAGAAGTTATATCCTTGCTATGAAAGCCCCAAATGATCATGAATTTCTCGACGACTCCCCCATTGTTGAATAAAGGGTCCTCTGAACCCGCTCAAGAGCCATTTTCTTGGTATGCTCTCCTTCAAAATCGATTCCAACGCTTTAAATGGGGCCGTATCGATGCCGTCCCGAGCAGAAACCTCGCTTCTAGGCATGGGACTGGTTCATTCGCGTAAGAATAAAGTGCCAAAACAACGTGTTCTCGGTCCCTGGTGCCACTGTGCAGGGAGAGAAATTGACTCGATGCGCCACCCTCCGACTTCATTTTTACTCATGACTTCATTCCTCCTCACACAGAGGTCGATGCCGCCAATATGGCGGCGCGCTAAACTCAGTGCTCTTCAGAGTAGCATATCGTCAGCAAATGACTTCGGGGAAAATTCGCTTGGACTGCTGACGGAAAGTTAAAGCTCTAGCAATTCCTCACACAAGTGCGTGACTGAGCACATTCGAGGATATGGAGGACGATGGGAAGGAGTTTGATGTTGGAAACTTCAACGCTCAAAAACGTAAGTGGAACTTCTTGGGTGCTTGAAATCGTTATTAACAATAGCCTCTCGTGTGGTAATCTAGTTTGCCAATCTAATATCGTGCCGTCAATATGGATAGTGAGTACAGGTAAAGGACATTCCTGGTTTATGGGGTCTCCACTTGACATTTTAGTTTGGGGAGGACTACCCTTTTATTCTGAAAGATGGAAAGTTACGTTACCAGGACGAGGTCCGTTCTGCCGATGTAGGCTGAACGCAAGACCCCTCCTCCCCATCATAGGACTACCCTAGGCCTCATGCAAACCGTGGACATTTGCTTGCACATTTACCATCAGCATTCCAATAGGTGTTACAATTTTAAAGTACCAGCGAATTCACCTTGCTAATGAATGCATCTGTAAGCAAAGTATTTTGGAGAAGTATAGAATAGCTTTTAATGCATTAACATGCATATTTTCAAAGAACCATGAATTTTGCCAGGGGCTGTTTCCACTTAATGGTGAAATTCCTCCTTATAATGACAAAAGAGTTGTCATGTTATATGCTTGAATGAGTAAATCTTTTAACTGAAAATCTGAAAGTCACATGAGGAATCTTTAAATAAGTGTGGCAGGTTTGGACCACATGGCCTAGAGACTGCTTTAAAGGTAGGTAATTAAAGTTTTAAGAGAGAGTAGATTTTTCTTTTAAGCAACCAAAAAAATAAGAAATTGACAAGATTTATATTTTAGGTCAAGATCAATCTGTCAGGCCATAGCTAACACACTGACAATATCCCTGAATAGACTGGATACTGAGTGCTGATAGACTGCATATGAGTTCTTGCTCTTTTATCCCTCTTACACCTTTTTTTGTCATAGATGTGAAGAATCTGGTACAGAACTCTGGGACTTTAGAAAGTTTGGAGGAAGAGAGGGGACGTCTGGAGCTGCTTGGCAAGAAAACCAGCACTCAGCTGAAGCGGAGTGTATATGATAACTACATGATCTTTATTGAAACTGCCAGAGAAATAACTTGTATCCTTTCTAAATAGACCTTATGCAAGTAAAATTACAGTGAATTAGTAGATATGCAACTGTTCATGTGTATTAGCATGAACACATCATCCTGAATTTAGTGCGGCTGTGCAGAGATGCTCCATGTTCAAGTCTGCAATTGCAGCTTACTTGCAAGATGTCTGTAGACCTGTAGAATGAGTTGCACCCTCCAAATATTTCCTAATTTTTGTATTATAAGAAGGAAAAACCTTCCAATAGACCTGGGTTTATGAATTTGTGAAACAGGACTAATTGATGGTTGTATAAGTGAAAAATGAAAACACATTCCAGAAAATTGTCAACATTCCTCATAGAATTTCTGTTTTTTTTTTGTTAAATTGGCCCAGTATGGCATTGAAACATATACACCAGTAGTTCTTAACCCCTGGGTTGCAACCCAATTTGGGCCAAGCCATTTTGAGTGGCTCACCAAGGGTCTCCAATGACTGTCCAAACTTTCCTTTATATTCTAGGTCACTCATGCTACCCAAACATGCCTTTCCTCCTATCAGTCTCTTAAATACTAAAAAATGGCAGTCTGGATTCTAACCTCATAATAACCATGCTGAGCTAGCATTTGGGTTGCAGCCAAAAAAGGTTAAGAACCACTGCTGTACAATATAGTATCAATCTTCCTTAATACCTATTGACTGAAGCACTGGAAACAGAGATGAGCAAGATTTCAGTGATGTTGGAAGAGCAGCGACTAGTCCTGGATACCCTGTTGCATCTGTCAGTCCTGGGGAACCGACCACCTGGACGGCGCACATCTCTAGCCAGTGGAGGCTCTGAATTTGATGATGATGAGGAGGAAGAAGAAGATGATGACCCAAAAAAGCTGGCCCGTTCGAGCATGTCTAAACTGGAAGGCATCCAAGGCGCTGTGAGTCTGTCTTCTGAATGACATCTATTTCTTTATATATGTATTTTGTCCTCAACAGAGGCCATACATGTGAGTTCATGCTTGCAGAGGAAGTTTTTGGAAGACCCGACAAAGGAGATGCTTTTTAATAGTCCATTGATGGAGCTGGATGGGAACACAAATCAACCTTTGAGGCCTGTGCACATGTATCTCCTGAATGACTGTGTTTTGATTGTAATTGAGAGCAAGATGGGAGGTGCACCTCTAACATCCATGCTTGAGACAAGCCTCCCACTGAACACCATTGCCTGGGTGAATGTCCGAGACCTTCAGGGCATTCGGAATGCCTTCAAGGTGGGTATCAAAAATTATCAAAATTTCTTATCAAAAATTATCTTAAGAAATTTTGATTTTGTTGGTAAGCTAGTATCATGACTAGAGTTTCTTTTTTCCATGGTGTTTCCCCTGTGGCCTGTAGCTTTTAACTCAGGCTGAGCAGCGAATCTTTCAGTGTGATGGATCTGAACTGAAGAGTGAATGGCTGCAAGCTTTTGAAAGAGCCAAGAAAGGTCAGGTGCGCCTGAAAAGCAAGATCCCTTCACGGAAGGTCAAATCCCAGGCTGGTGCTACCAAAAATAAGGACCAAGTTAGTGGAGATGTGGAGACATCCTCAGCATCCTTCACTTGGAGTGACCTATCGGTAATCTTTTCTTTTGCAATGTGATATTTTCTAGCCTTAAGAGGGTTGAGGTGCAGTAGGTAGTTTCAGGCATCCTTGCAGAATTAGACAAGCATAAGCTTGAATCTGTGATAAATTTGAAGGTTACATTGTCATACCCCTATTGGATTATTAGTCTTCCTAGATGAATTGAAGACCTGTCACTTCCTGCAGAGAAAATCAGCCTAGCCTGGCATATCTGAATGTAAAGTGAAATATACTGGTGTGAATTTTTACATTCTATTTGTAATCTGAAGTTTTGAATGCCAGCAATTAGGGACCTAGGGCCATATTCTATTGCGTTCTTAAGTGCAATTTTCCTCTTAGCAAGTTGCTTAGCTGGTATTTGCCCCATTCAAATGCATGGCTGAGGTTGAGCGATTTGCTTTAACTAAGTTTAAGATTTTAATAGAATACGGCCCCTAGTATTTTCCTTCTCTGAATAAATAACTTATAGACTGCAGACTGACCTCAACTGAGGTCAGTTAATGGACAAAACTTGTTTTTCTGGAAGGGTTTCCTTGGCTTATCCATGTTTGGGATATCATAAACTAACAGGAGGAGTCAGGGAGTGAGGTGGAAGGTGGAATGGAAGAGGAAAAGGAAGCCATCTACACATCTCGTTACTTGAGTGAAGTGCGGGAGAAGTCAGGGCTTCCCGACTGGCTTCTTGATCTCCCTGACAAGATGGAGGTCCTCATTGCACACCGTGCCTTCAAAGATGCTGTTGACCTCCTTGAGAAGAGCCAGGAGTACTTCAAGGACTCCCCACCAACCTCTGACAATGCTCTTGCTCTTTGTATCCAGTCAGTTTCTCTATACATCATTGTGAACCTGATAAAATGATTTTAATGCCATCCATACAGCTTCTTAATAATCTGTGGTCTGACATTTTATATTCAAGAATGTTGAAACATTCATAGAAGCCAAAAGGTGCTTAAGTCATCAGACTTGTAACAAAAATAAACAATCCAGTGGAAAGTAATTGTTATTTTCCTTAAGATTATTATTTTTTCTGCCTACAAGGCCAAAGCAGGAACATTGACTTCACCTTTCTAGATGGGCAGATGATGATTTTGGAAACTATGAAGAGTCAAGTGATAAAATATGATGCACTGTAATTGAGCAAGTGACACTTGGTTCAAAAAATGGATATTTTTAGACCATTGTGAAATTAATTTCTTTCTTGGGTTTTCTCAAAAATTGTTCTTTCAAAATTTCATGGAAAATGGGAGTAGGGTTTGGTTTAAATTTATGTGAGTTCTGGGAGCAGATGTGGTCTAATCAAGAGTTTTGCATACAAATGTTTGATGGTACAGCTAGAGTTGAAGTGGGAATGAAATTCTGCATGCTTAATGGCGGATTTAGGGGAAAAAGTAATAGGTTGGTAGGTTGGATCTCACCTACTTCAGGAATGCCTTCCCATTTCTCATTTCTAATGAGACATAATTTCATCCCCTTCCAGTGAGTAAGAATGGAATGACTTCATTTCACTGAGTATTTTTCAATGTTATTGCAGAGGTCTTGAATCTGACTTGGAGCCTGTTATCATGGACTTGAGTTTTTTGCAGTAACCTGATTGTATTTTTTATTTTGGGGCAGTCGTCAGATGGGGAAAAAAGAGCGGGCCCTGCTGAGAGCGTTAACTTGGGATCTACGTGTGATGCCAGGAAAAGCCATCCAAGGAGGGTCCCAGACAACCAAGACAGCTGTTTCTCTTCTCATGCGACTCCACAAGGCCAAACTGGTGATTCCTATGTACTAGTTCTATGCCTATATTATTTTGACAATCTCAGTGGATACTAATTGGTGCCAGCACCTATGGAAGTTAGACCTAATCAGTTGAAGTGTTACTGAACAGAGTGAGATAATGTTTGTTTTAGCAAAGCCTAACTTGTACACTGCTGCTTTCATGACTAAAGATATGATTGAGTCTATTGTTGGTCATAAGTTAGACAACCTCTCATGTATTTCCTCTTACACAGGCCTGCAATCTCTACTTAAGTCGGAGAGAGACTTGCTGGCAGGAAGCAATGAAGTTTGTCCGCCTTGAAGATGCCACACAGCTGTATGTGCAGAAGGTCTCAGCATTATTCTTTAGGCAGATGAGTGAAACTCTCCGGGACTTCCCCAAACTCTTCCCAAAGCAGAACCATCTCCATTTATTTCTCATCAAATGGATGAGTGAACAGGTAGGAGAGGGGAGCAGAGAATGGGTTAATTTACTCTTCAATTGTTGAAATTATATTAGCTCCTGGATGGCTGTGCAATGTTTCACAGGTGGGGAAATTATCAGGTCGCATCGAGACCCTGGTGTTCACTCCTCAACCAAGTATTTCCACAGTTGCAGACTGCATTTCCACCCTTCGCAGACATAGCCTCCAGGTAACCCTTTGGAATTTGACTTTTTGCTCTGTTCAGTGTTTGTATCAAATTTATTGTGGTTTTGGGTGTTTTTTTCTTGAACTATATAATTGTCTAAAATATTCAAAAATAGGAGGAACTAAGTTGATGATAGACTTGCTGGCATGACTGCAGTGCATATTATAGATGAAGTTGTTGCTTGAATATGTTTGCTCCATGATCTTTGATTTTCTCATAAAATGAAATCAAAAGTGTGAAAGTGGAAATCAAATTGGAGTGGAGGAATGCAACTGAAGCTGAACTTCCTCCACAGTACAGTATGAGGTATTGTTGGATGCTGCCCAGTAGTGTAGCACCATCTGGTGGGATGAGATCTAGAATCCCTTTATATTGTAAATGCCATTTGAAATCCTGGCCACAGTCCAATAGTGTGGGTGCAATGTGGTACTCTGCAGCTGTGAATTCTCTGCCTCATAATAAAACCTGCAGTTTCCTGATGATTCCTCATTTATGGTAGGCATACAAGTGGTCTATGGAGAGTGTAGAACTCTGCAGCACATATCTCTCCAGCAAGAAATGAATTTATATGCTAATGATCCAAAGCCCTTATATTTCCATAGAGATTTAAGAGTTCATGCATTTTGTCCCTGCAGATGAAAGGAAACTCTCCCCTTTAATCTTAGGAACACTGCTAAGAATTAGGGATGCTGAACCATTCAAACTAATTTCTGAGACATTGTAATTCATATGCAGAGGCCAATGATGAAATGACTATCTAAATAATGTCTTTAAAAATTCCATATTTGTGAACCATTTGTTTTATCACAGGCCAAAACAGTTCAAAGGGGGTTCACCCATATTTTATTTTTCATTTTGAAAGTTGATGAAATTCTCTTCATCATTTAAACGTCTTCATGGGTCAGTGCGAAAAATCCAGTAATTTGTTGAATTATTTCTGATTGCAATTTCATGAGTAAATATGCTTAGATATTAGACAGAGGCAGAGGTTCTCAAGGTATCAAGGTAGTTTAGTGGTATCAAGAGGCAATAACACCCATTTGGATATCACATGTCAAGAGCGAGTGTTCCTTAATTTTAGGCTAGGCCTGCTCATCTTAAAACTAAGTATTATTGGATTTTGTGATTTTTTAATTTTTTATTTAGCATATTCTAGTTGCTTACTGCCTATTCCCTTACATCAACATTGCCCCCTTGCTTGTCCATAGGTTCTCATTTTGTCCATGCCTGCACAACTTTTCACAATCTCATGAGGTCCCATGAATGTTTGGTGCTGGTCTTCCATGACCTTTAGAAAAAATTTGAATAATGTGTCAGCAAAGTTATTGGATGGATGTTTCACATTTTTGCTGTGCTGTCTTCATTGGGAAAATGCAGCTTCTAACTATAGACTTTTCAAGAGCAAGTCCATTCATGAAGAGCTGAGATTCTTCCATATTTCCTTGAAATGTTGACAGAAAGTCTGAGAAGCATTTTTTCATCCTTTTAAATTGTTTTTTATGCAGCACACCATAGCCTATATCCTGTTGAGATTTCCAAACAAAATTATCAGAATGTTCTATTGTCCTTTGAAGGTGGTTCTACTCATGTCTCTGCCAAGGAGCATAGGTATAACACTGAGTTTATCAAGTTTATTGCTCCTCTGGAGGATTAGAAGGAATATTGAACCTGCTTTTTCTGTACTTTTTGTGTCTTCTTGCTGCTAGACTTCCACAGCCAAGTCCTGGGGTCCTTCTTCCATGTAGTTGCCAACAGTAGAGGATCCCAGTGCTGAGCACGATTCCACATATCATCTGGCAAAGGAGGTTGCAGCTTTGCAAGGACCTCATTGATGGTTGGCTCATTTGCTTCAGGAATGCGGTGTTCTGGGACGTGAATGGATGCTCTGGAGGAGACTCTTCTTGTGTTGCTTGCATCATAGGTCTTTCGAGCATCCTTCAAGAGAGTCTCCCAATCAGCAAGGCTGTTAGGCTCCATGTCAGGTTCACTTCCAGGGATGAAATTCTGGTGCTGCTTATACTGCTCCACCAGGAATGCCCTCTCTTCCATCTGGTTATACTTGTGTCTGGTCTCCTGGTTATAATCATCAAAGATTGGAGATCTTGAACTTCTCTCCTCAGCCCTCTCAAGGTATCTTGGTGCATTAAGAGAGGCAACTGATTGCATGGGTACAGTCCATCTCAAGGGAAGTAAGTTTGAGTTACAGCTGAAGGATTCTGACTCTTGGTGTCGAGGAGTGATGAAGCTAACTGAGTCAAGGGAGGGCCATGCCTTTACTGGCATCATTGTGCACCCTTTGTCTTTCCTCTTATGATATACTTCCATGAAGGAGTGATAAAGGAGATGATCAGGGACACTGTGTGTTCGTTTTACCTTCTTATGAGTCAGGACTGGTTCACTTTTACTGTGAGTAAGGACATTCAGTGTATTGACTGATGTTGGCATTATGTCCTCTTCTTTATCATCCTGGTGATCCTTGTGCTGTTGGAAGGTCTGCCTTGATTGAGGCATTGCATCCCTTCCCTTCACTATGCACTTCTTGTGGATGTGTGGGACCTTCATGCAGCTAGCACTCCATTCTTGTGGTTGCTCATCATATGCAATTAAAAGGATGGATGCAGGCAAAATGAGGCTCAACTAGAAAATTATTATCATGATTGTTTTCAGAAGGGCATGTGCAGTTGATTTGAATTCGTGAATTTCTCATAATAAGCCTAGGGACTTATTGGCATCTTTCCTAAATGAAGGAATGAAATGGAGGCATATGAGCATTTTGAGTAATATACCATGTCTGAAGTAGAGTCCACTCCAGTCTACTCACTTGGAATGAAAGGTAGAGATTCAAAGTTCCATGGAAACAAGTTGAGATTCAACAAGTAAATGCAATAGAGGAGTCTCACTTAAAATTTTTTTGCCTAAGTAATATACAAATCATCTGTCTTGTCCATCCTCTAAGACAGAGTTTTGTTATTTTCTGTTGAGCCTTGTTAGGTTTCATTTGCTTTATGGATGAAGACCATTCACAAAATTCACAGAATGCTTCTATGTGAATTAATTTGGTTTTATCCCAGTATCTCATAGGATTTAATCAGCCCAATTTGATGAATTTCAATTGGAAACTTTCTTTAAGTTGAGCCAAATTAGTGAATTACAGCAGGTTGTATTGATATAATGCACTTGATTGTATCAAATGAAGTAGAATCTGGTAGTTGTATCATCAGATATGGAAAAATGGTAATGTATCTATGCCAGATGCAAGTCAGGAACAAGAAGCAGTGAATTTATTCATGCATTATCCTTATACAACATTTCATCTGCATTTTTTATATATATATATTTATCACTATTGCAACGTATGTTCCAGTTGGCGGACATGGGATTGGACATGACGTGCCTCTTGGACAAGCGCTTAGACAAGGAGGTGGAAAGTGTCATCACATACAGTCGAGATCAACTTCTGGAGGCAGTCCGGGTCAGGGCACAAGCTGACAAGTGGAGACCATTCAACCTCCAAAACAAAGAGGCATTGAAGAAATTCCTCGATGGGATGCGGAATCTTGGCTTTCAGGATGTGGGAACCCTTGTTTATGGTGAGCCTCTGAATGTCCCAATGACAGTTTCGCATCATTCCTGCTCTCAATGTATGGCTTTCACATGCACTTGGTTATCATATTTTTCTGCACAGAGGAGGTGTGGGTGTCTCTGACAGAGAATGTCATCAACTTCAGCAAATCTTTTCTGAGTTTCACTAGTGATGCAGCTAAATTGGCCTGCTCCCCAACATTAAGGCCTTTGTGCACTGCAGCCATTGCTGGGATTCTTACTGAAGAAATGAGACATATCTTAGCTGTCTCCCGGAAGTCTCAGTCCAAGGACCAAGTGAGTCATCCCCATGTTTTCACTCGAGCATCAATAGCTTCCCAAATGCCCTTTACCACTTTTTGGACTGAGTTTTCTGTGCAAGAGAATTTAAATTATCAGTTTCATTGCCATCAGTGGAGTACTGTGATTATGTGGGAATGTGTGTCTTTCTTGAACTAAGAAAAAGGAATTTCTTAGAAAGAGGTTGTAAATTTCCAAGCATTTTGCCTTAAACATTCATTAGTTTGTTTCCAACTACAGGATGGGCCACAAAAAATGGACAGTTTTCAACTATATATTGATATTATACTTCACTCACAGCATGTATTTTAATGCAGTTTGCAGCATTAAAAAAAAGGTATGAATAAGCCATAATATGTATACATTTCACCTATCTTCAACAGTTTTAGAGATTTGGGAGCTCACATGAACAACATGCAAAAACTGCAATGATTGTGTGCTCAGATGCAGACGGCATGTGACCTTCAGCTGCTGCCTGTCCTGTATCACTGCTATAATAAAAAAAACTGCAGTTCTTGTTTGCAATTCATATGAATTTCTGAAACTATTGAAGTTATTTGAAATGTAAGTACACCATTTTAAAGCTTAGTCCAAGGATGTGCAACCCACAGGCTGTATGTGGCCCGTAGACCTGCTTCTTGCAGTCCGATAATGCATAATGGGATAACAGATCATTTTCTTTGCTGCCGAAGGCCCATCACAACTTTGGTCATTCCTTAATAACGTGAATAGACTGAGTCCTTTCACTTCCTTCTAATTTTTCTTCATGCAGGCAGTGCTACATATGTCCCAAGGAAGAAAGTTCTCAATGCCAAAGACTATTTTTGGACGTTGGAATTTCCTAGGGGTGGGGAGGAGGTAAGGATCATCGGCCAATCAGCGCGACCTTATTCCCTCATATGCCCTGTAGACAAAAGAGGGGAGTCTTATCTTTTGCATTCTGTGGCCCATGCCAAGAGTCACACATTTCCATGCAGCCCACTGCTGATAAAGGTTGCACACTCCTGGCTTAGTCATTCTTCTTTCAAATGCTGCAAAACACTTTAAAATGCATGCAGTGAGTGCAGTACAGTGTATCATTGAAAACTTTCTGGTTTTTTTACTTTCTGGTTTTTGAAAGCAATGAATTTACAATACCAGAATGCAATTTCATGGATTATGATTCCAATGTACCACTGTTGGCCTAGATGTGACTGAAAAGCTAATTTTTTCTAGAATTGATGAAAATCTTTGTATTAGCTTAACATTTTTTTCCCCATGATCTTATATCCATATCTTGACATAATAGCAACTTCTACAAAGAGGGAAGATTATCTTTGAACTACCTGCCAAACTTAGTCTGACAAAGTCAGCAGGGACTTTTGGAAAGCAGTATGTCTTGCATTTCAATGTATGGCTTTCTCATGCTGATTAACTTTTTAAATATTCTGCTCAGGTTGAATTTATGAAGAAAAATGGTGGATTCATCTTGAACCGGGTGGTCCCACTGGCAGCAACACGTTACGAAGAGATAGTCCAGCTTCCCTGCCCTGAATTGTATGTAGCCCAGGCTGAAGCTGCAAAGAGCCTTGGTCTCCCACTCAGTCCTTCCCTCTCTCGCTTCCTCTAAGTTATTTTTAATTATTATTGTTCTAAATTATCCATCATGGTGGAAAGTTGCTTGATGGCAAGTCTGTTTCATCCGGGCTCATATCTGTGCCTTTGAAAGCGAGTGATCCTGTCGCAGCCAGATTCACGTGATGATATTGACAAGAGTGTTAGAGTTAAAATACCGTGAGTATATTTTTTGCATAACCATGCTTTCCAAATGCGATGAATTAAAGTATTAGATAATGGATTTCCATCGTTCAATTCCTTAGTGATTTCACTCGTCACTTGCCTGGTCCAGTAAGCATATTCACTGGTTTACCTGAAGTGTCCTTTCCTTACACTGCCCAAAAGAACCCAAAGGAGTATGATCCTTGAGTCTCACTTGCTTGCGTGGGTTTGATATGCCTCCCATGCTGAGGACGTGTGTCATGAGCATAGCAAGGATGGAAAAACTGGTGGGGTTGATCGATCAACGATCGTTGAACACAATTTCGAAATATCGAGCAGAAATGAATGTCGCGGACAGGACAAATTCAAGAAACCGTACGGAGACAACTTTACTTGAGAAACGCTTCCCACGTGGTATTTTTAATTCTATGATCAGTTATTATTCCGCAGGAAACTAGGGAACGTAGAGGACTGCTGCAAGGGAAAACGCGTGCCATGAGCAGATTTCCGCATTACTTCTGGTGTGTCCATACTACGTTCTGATCAAACTTCATTTCCTCGCATCTAAGTTCGGACACCCACGTAATAGGAACCAGTGGAAACCATAAGGCTTCGATGGTCATTATCTTTATCACACTCGTACCTACTCATATTGTGCTACCGGACGCAAAAAAAAAGAAGTATCTGGGTTGTACCATTAAGGCGTGACAAGCGAATTACAATCCTATCCTGGCTTAATTGTCCGAGCATTTGTGGTTTTACCCTGCATGCATCTTTTCCTGCTTCCTTTTGCCTTTTATTTACTTTGAGGAGCGGGGAAGCATGCTCCCTCTTGCTCCTCGACTTCCTGCTACTTGGGAGCGGATTTTTATGCAAATGCATATTTTTAATGCACATTCCTGGGAGCATACAACCCAGATAGGACCGTGACTTATTGGTAGAGGAAGCGACTTCTACCATTTTTAAACAGCATAAAAATGCATATTTGTATATTTTTTCTCAGCATGTTCATATTTATGCATACTTCGCCAATTTATATATATATATAAAAGAGTTTTCCTGGAAAATGTTTTTTTATGAGCAACCTATACACTTTCCAGCGGTTATGCGCTAGTTGAAGTGGTGAAGCCCCCAAAACTCTGCTCTAAATCCATCCGCTACCACCATCCCTATCGAGAAGTTTAGAAAATTTTAGCACCCATTCATTTCCCTTACCCCTCCATTAGCGACTTCCTGGCTTCGCCGCTGGCTGCGACAGGAATAGACCAACTGTACCCAGCAGAGGCCATGTAATGTACAGTGAAGTTCCTTCTGGAAAATTCGTACTGCATTAAAAAAAAAACATGTCTTCGCAAATTTTCCCATAATCGTGCATATTTTAGGACTTAATAGCGCATGCATAGACCTAAAATGTGCATAAAAGCGCAGGCATACGCCAAAATATGCATGAAATATGTATGGATATGGGAAAATATGCGAAAACATGTTTTTCTTTTAACGCAGTACGAATTTTTCGGAAGAGTGAACTTCATGCTCGAGGAGTAATCGAAAAGTTCCGGGACTGAATTTTTTATGACGCTGTAGTGACTCTTTCCGACTACTGATGGATATGTCCTTCAAAGTAGTCCACACATATTCTCTACAAAAATCGATGCTAATTTTCCTGTGTTTCTTCAGCCGCTGGAATAATTGCGTCTTTTGGAATCACCAGCAGCATTCGTGGGTGCGTTCGTAACGTTGCTTTAAATGTCCTGAAATTTCCTTCATTTTCCAATTTCAGCGGTTCCTGACTTATCTCGCAGTCTCCGTGCTTCATAAGCCACCCAACTCGCCGGACTTAGCTCCTAGGATTTTTTTTTCCCCCCTAAGCTAAAAAGTGTGGTGAAACGATTTCAGGCATTGAAATGAAAATTGTACACGCGACGCGAGCGCTGCTGGTGATTTCAAATGTTAAGTGTCAGCAATTTTTTCCAGCAGCTGAAGAAACGCCGAAAATTGTGTAGATGCCAAAGAGGACTAGTTTGAAGGATATAACCGCCAATAATTTGAAAGATTTACCACAGCGTCATGAAAAATTTCATTCCCGGGACCTTCTGATCACCCCTTGTATATTGAATGCCTGGGTATACAGTAAGCCCTCGATTTACGTCGTGGATGCGTTCCCGGAAAGGACAACGTAAATCGAAGCATATTTTCCCATGGACTAAATTATATGCAGGAAGTCCTCGATTTACGACGGTATATCGGAATGACGCAACGTATATGGAAATTTGTTCCCTAATATGTTATCGACGTTATATCGAAACAACGTAAATCGAGGACTTCCTGTAGTTGGTCTATTCCTGTCACAGCCAGCGGCGAAGCCAGGAATTCGTCAATGGGAATGGCAGTTTCCTTCATTTCCTAAACTTCTCGAGAGGGATGGTGGTAGCGGATGGATTTAGAGCAGAGTTTTTGGGAGCTTCACCACTCCAACCAAAGCATAACCGCTGGAAAATAGTCATAGGTTGCTCATAAAGAAGCATTTTCCTGGAAAACTTTTTTTTTTTAATAAAAATATGCATAAATATGCACATGTTGAAAAAAAAGTAAAAATATGCATTTTTATGCGTTTTAAAAATGGCAGAAATCGCTTCCTCTACCAATAAGACACGATCCTATGTGGGTTGTATGCTCCTAGGAGGCTGCAGAGAAAATATGCATTTGCAAAAAAAATCCGCTCCCTTGTCATGACAAAGCGCGCATGTGTCCGATTGGTACGTCGCAACTGAATGTGCGCAGTACTTGCTTATCCGAGGCATCATGGAAAGTTATGGATTTGTAGAAAAGAAAACTATTCCCTGTGTCGCAATGCTATTGACACGCTAATTCCTCGTTTGCCGAGATCTTGCTGTTTCCAGTCCTAGCATAACTTGCAGTAACTACTCGACGGTTTTATCGAGCAAGTGCCTCATGGTCGTTTGTTTTTTATATTTTTTATTACATCAATCCGCTGCAGCGAGAGGTAACATTCATCAACGGGTTCATGATCATCAATGTCAGAGGCGTGCGGACTTGATGATCTTCCAGATAGCTGGGTTATTTTTCTTGGCCTGGCATATGGGAGAAATGGTGATTGTTTGCCAACGTCCTTAAAGGCACTGCGAAGCATTATTAATGACTCAGCTTGTGAAGGGAATTTTTTTTATTATTTTCCCTCGCGTTGAGCATCGTCATGCAAACGGTTGGGGGTTTCAACGGTTATCCAGGTAACCGACCGATCTTTTGTAACCGTCACTTGTCAGTTTCGACTAACCGCTGTGGTGCATCATGTTGGTCATGAAATGCAGGCATCACCCTGACGTGAGAAACGGTTCTTCCGACCACGTCATGGGAGCGGGGAAAAAAAAAATTTGTAAATCACGTGCTGCTTTACTTCTCTCGGATATCTCCGCGATTCCCTCCCTTCCTGTTTCCTTTTCATCTCCCGCACAGATTGAGGAAACTTCAGAAATCCCTTTTTTCTGGTCCCACTCCTGCCCCCCCCCAACTCCAACCCGAGCCATGAACCATAGTAAATTCCTCTGCAAGAACTGAGCATTGCTCGCTTTCTCGTTTGAGGTCGCCAAACTGCCATGAACAATTTAATGGCATCCGGGGGAAACTCGAATGCGTCGTACGTCGCAGCGTCGCAGGGGAAATGAACTTCGTAGATTCGAGGTGATGCGCAGTTTGTCATATGGGTCTATACAGCCGAGCTACGTGCGAGATGGGGATTACTCCCCGCTCCCAATTTTTGTCCTGTTGGTTTTTTTTTTCTCGCTCTCACAACCGATCGATAGAAGTTCCTTCACCCGTCGCCCTTGATGGCTTTCCTATCCTGAAAGGTTTCAGCTTCCGACCCACGGGAGGAAACGGCTGAATCAGGATTCCTTTCCCCCCCATCCTTTTTTTTCTCACGAGGTTCTTGCAATGGGATGCCTCTTTCCACCCCAATTTTTTTTTCCCAAACGATACAGTAATATCCGGTCTTTTCCGGGTTTTCCTCGCCGGAGTATGGGCCCTCAGGGACTCCTCTGGACCAGAGTTATCCATCCTTCATCCCGGGAAACAAATCCTGCGGTGGGAAGCGAATTCCCAAGATGACGTCAGGGGAAGGGGAACGTCGATTAAAGCCTGGAAGCCTTCTTTCAGAATTTTCCACCACGATCCCGGTTTTTTCTCGACTTCGGATTCAATTATTGACGATGAGAAGCAGCGTTTTTTTTCCCTTTCGCCTGGATGGTTTTTAAAACCGATTCCAGGAGAGAAATGACAAGCGTGCTCTTTCCTTTTCAAAGTAAAGCCATAGAGATTAACATCTTCGAAGTAATCGAAGTTAGGAGTCACCGACATCTTGTTCATGCATGGGTATTTCCCGGGTGAGGTGCATAAGAAAAAAATTAGCCAAGATGAGATGATATGGCGATTATACGCGATGCTCTTATCTCACTTCCGTTTTCGTCTCCCGATGGGAAGGGGAAGATTATGGGCGGGTTAGAACATTTCCTCTGTAAGGAAGATGGGCGCCTTGATAATGGTCTGGATCTTGAGATACTTCTATGATTATTTTTTAAAAACTAACGAAAGTTGAGGGTCAGGAGACGCTTAGAGCTGCACCAGAGGCCCCACGTCACGTGCCATTCGTATAGCTACGTGCAGAATGCAATCTCTAAACGCAAACCGACAAACAAAACGTCGAAGATAAACGTCGCTGACACGCTCATTCGTTAGCGAATGCTGTGTGCTGGCCGTTGTTAACGCCATTGCCAGCTGCAGGATTAATTGAAGCTTCATCAGTCACTCCTCATCTCATCTCGTAGAAAGGAAACAGCTTGCTTTTCTTCTCTTTCCTCACATTTCATCCTCGTAACGAACGGGCACATGCCAGAAAGTTTGACCAAAAATAAAAAAATCTGGAGGCTCCAATTCATAAGCTGCTACGTTGAAACAATGCTGGTCGGCTGTAGAAAAGTGGAAGTTTCTTACAGAGTTACTTGTTATTTTGAGGAGAACCAACGTAAAGCCCCCGTCAGAATATTCATTTTCTTCACTTTTTCGATGATCTCGGCTGTTTCACTCAGAAACTCCATTGATTCTGCGCTCTGCTTTCAACTGCGGGTGAGTGACGACTGAGCAATTTGAAGAAAGAGATTACAATGCCGCACCAGAATCTAGAAGAAATGGAAGTTGTTTCATGGAGGCACTTTGTGAGTTTCCAAGTTTAAAAGTTTGCCAATCTTCCTGGAGTTCTTTCTTCCCATCAGAAGGCTCCGTGAAGAAGTTCCAGGAATTGTGCTAGATTGCTTTCCCTCTGGAAGTCTCAAGTACCTCCCCAGCATTAGTACGCCCCCCGGATTTTACGATTGGTGTCATTTGAAGCACATTGGAGTGCATTCAAACGCTTTAAGGAGAAATTGCGACCTAGTACACATGACACTTCTCGCGGAACCTTTTAAGCTAGTCAGTTCCGCTTGGAGGTTTCCCATTGAAATGTGACCTGACAAAGTCTTAGCACCCGAGTGGTGTACTCGTGCACATCCATCAGCAAAGCAATTTTTAATACTTCTTTTGCATTCTCTTGCGGCATTTTAATCACTTTCGGCAAAATTCTCAGCCATCACTCACTTGCAAATGAAATAAAAGGGAGGAGAATCAACTCCCTGGAGAAAATGGGCCTGGATCAGTGAAAGAGTCAAGAAAATGAAAATTTTCTCTCTATGGCTTCATGTTGACTCCATTCAAAGTGAACAAGTAACATGAAAAAAATCCATTTTTCTGCCATCGCATAACTTCAACTTTGAAAATTTGTAGTAACCCTTCGCAATTTTTTCTTTTTGGTAACAAACTTTGTCACCCTGTAATACGGAGTCCAGAGAGAATGGAACATTGAAATCCCTCGTCAACCCGTTTGAGGAATTTTCTTATTGGTTTGTCTCGATTGAATTAACGTTTTGCATTAAAAAAAAAGACATTTATTTGTAGTGCATATAACATAATGACATCATCTAAAACTAAGAAAACGTAAACACTTTGGCTGCGGCAGCCTGAACCGGGTGAAGGATGTCATCCGCGTGGTACGCAGTCCCACGTCCACAGGCGTTCGTCGTCTCCGACGCGGTGTCATCATTCGTGCTTTTGAGAGTTGGGGAGAAGCTCGTCGTCTCTCTTGACGGCTTCTAGGAATCCCTCGGGAACGCGGCCTGCTTCGATATCCGCTGCCCATTCTCGATACTATCAACGTACAGGATGATACTTTATTCATGCAGGCCTACCGCTCACTGGCCTAGCGATTACCGGTTTAAAACACACACACACACACACTCTCTCTCTCTCTTCGGACACTTCATGCAAGCCTCAACTTGGACGTCTTAGGAATTGAAACCATATTTCAACTCAGTGTTCTTAACAACTCAGTGTTCTTAACCAGAAACACGATACTGGCAACCGAAAACCCAACAGTGGTGGCCTAATTACAGTAAATTAATTACTGTAACATTGCAGAATGAGTAACTTCACTGCAGACTAGTCATTCAATGCTAAGTCATTGCCGTTTACCAGCAATTCAGCACGAAGCCATTTGTCACTCAACTATAGCATGAAATTACTTTTAAATGCTTATTACTGAATTTCAAGTTTCGAAAGCATATACAATATGCACCAGGTAATTATAAAAGAACTAACTCAATTGCGCAATGAGATTTATGGGAATATGAACTCAGCTCAATTGTTGCTTCTCAATAGAAACTCACTACGAATTTTGAAAGATTCCAGTCATCGACGGCCCAGTAATCCAAAGACCTCAACAGGAATTCAACTGTACAATATGCACATCGTATAAATATCCGAGACCACCTGAAGCAATTACCTGGTCCAATTCCTTTCTGAGGGAAAATATGGCCTTCTCGCGGGATGCGACGAGTTCTTCCAGGTACTGATAGCGGAGTTTCTTGCGTGCCCGACACTCGCGGGCGCTCTGCCGGCTCCGTTCCAGCTTCTCTTTCATGTCACCGTGACCGTGACTCGATCGTTGGTGACTCCCTCCCCCTCGGCCTCGTCTTAAACCCGATGCACTTCCAACGCTCCCGGAGGACCTTCGTAGTACCCTCCCTCCACTGATCTTCCCACTCGAACCCTTCTGGAATTAATGAAAATGGGTCAAAGTGGCTGTCTAAAAGAAAATTATTTTTAAAATCGGGGAGGGGCGATTTTGGGTATAGTTTTTAAACTAGGCGTTGACGCATTGGGGAGTTTCATCATAGAAGGTCACCCTCAAGTCGGTGGTCTTATTAGCGATGCCAATGCAAGGCATTGGAAAAAAGACCTCCGACTTGGAGCTCAGGCTCGAATGCACAAACCTCATTTAGCAAGATAAAGGGGCCTTCAAGGAAAAGAGCTCTTTTTCTCCCGTAGAAGTCCATGCATTCTTAAAGGACCGTTAACTAAAGGAGGTTTCAGCATTCGGGCCTAAATGTCTAAGCTCTTACGAGAGACAGTTGCAGGAAACACATTGCGCAGAGGCTGATATCCTAGCAGATACATGGAACTTCATTATTGGTCCTGCTGAAGCAGGGCAAAATCAGCGATTATTTGAAATCGGAAATGGAAATTGGACATCAAGTCCCTTCAGAGAAACTTCATTCTACCTGCTACCTGCTTCGAAGTAAACGCAGCAAAATTCTGAATTAACTAAAGACAAATGAAAAATTATCTTATTGATACATACTGCATTGCTAATGAATAACCGGAACGATAACGATACTAATCCAGATAATTTTGAATGAAAAAATCAGCCAAAAGAACGGATCTTATAATGAATGAGATGCCCAACTAGCCACCACGGTATGCAGCCAAAGCGCGAGCAACTCCCACGAAAAGAAAACATCGGTCGAGATCACCCAGCCTTTTCCTCAAGTCTCGGTTATCCTTTTTCGCCATTCCAATAATATTCCCCAATGACCAACGGTCATGCGTATGACATGAGATGAGAAGAGGATTCTACACATGAACAACTTGCACGTTTACGTCAAAACGTAAGTATTAAAAAAAAATTAATTCGAAGGTTGCAAGCACACACTAAGGCTTCAACACGACAGAAGACCGGATACCTCGCGTGAGTCCATCCTGTAGCTCCTCCATCTTCCCACATCGTTATTGACCCAAGGGATCAATGAAGGGCTAGCCTAGTACATACACTGAAGGGGCACACATGACAGACACGAGATCAAGGTCATTATGTGAGAATGACGGAATGGAAAATCCCTATTTCACGAAGAGCTGTATGGAGTTCTCGTGGAAGTCACATGGCGGCCGCGGACAGGGATGCACCATCACATTCCACACACGAAAAAAAAACTATAAAGAGATGAACGACTTATGCACCAGCCACAATGGAGGATTCCATTTCATTCATCCTACCTGGATGACGGCGAGGAAGTGCGAGGAACAGCGATCGAGATTGAACGCAGAAGGCGGTGCGAGCGCAAAATAGAGCACTGAGGTCGGCAAGATATCAATGAAAGAACGCGGGATGGAGTGTGTGTGTGTCAAGGGAGAGACGTGATGATTGGGAGGCGTACGAGAGCGGCACGGCACCTTTACGGGTCCCTCCGGTTCGGGTGCGAGGGGAGGAAGGAACGGAGGACCGCTTAGCAACAGTGCATTGCGCAGTTCATCAGCTGTGGCCTCGGAGCACTGCAGAGAACGACGCACTTGCCCGGACTCCCCTCCCTCATCCCTAGTGGTATCTCTCCCCCCCCCATCGTAGAACTCACGGTGTGTTGCATATACCATCCATATTTTTAGACTCGGTTCATCTTCGGAGCGTTAAAGAGAGTCGAGGAAGACGAGAAGTTTTGTGAAGGAAATCCACTCCCCCCCCCCCCCCCCCCCCCCCTCCCCTCCACCTTCTCTCTCTCTTCTTTCCTCACTCATTCCACGGGACGCACGACGGAGAAGAGGGGCAGTGAAAAGGCAGCCTTGGGTTCATGGGGAAACAAAGGCTTGCGGCCAATGAACCCGTGCGATGGGCTTTTAGGACAGTGGACTGCGACACACACTACGTCTCACTCCGCCGATTGCATGACCGCTTGCTACGTATCGGGGCCTGACCCTGTCATCTCAGATTCCTTATTCAGGGCCTCCAAACACTATATCGTGTCTCGATCAAGGGCAGACGGGGAATCAGCCATCTGGCTATCTCGATAGCGAGAAAATGGGGGGAAAATACGAACCTTGGCATACGTTACGACCACAAATGCAAGGTAAAAGGTGAAGTGACCTGACCGCAAGGATTTCTCCTAAGACTTCAATGGGACTTCTCAATAGGTTTTCAACGTTTCAATTCCTTTTTCCACATACTTATTTTAATATATATAGCTTATTTATTTTTAAAATTCTATATAGCTTATTTCCGCACGACTTGGACTTCTTAAGTTGAAACGACCTTGCCTGCCATTTACCACTATCGTGATCGAAAAGTCTAGAAGTCGAGCGTATCTGGATGAGCAATTGTCTTCACTGCGGTTAAGTATCTTTCGAGTTTTTTATTTTTATTTTATCAATTGTGTGCGTGGTTTTCTCTCACAAGGACACCACCTACATAATGATAGTGCATGCCGAATGATTCTAAGTGATCGTCGAAATAAACCTGACCGAAAGAGCAAAGTTGTTAGGGGGGCTCGGCAATGTGTCGAAAGAAAATCATGACGACATCGAAGGAGGCCTAGATCGGACTTGGCCATGGGAGAAGGGGCAATTATTGAAGGATGGCAAAAGGGGGAATCGATAGAATTGCCCTGGCGCAAGGCAGGAGAACGTGCGTTCTTGCGCGCACGCACTCACGTGCGTGATCGTGCGAGTTCTGATATGTCCGGAGACGAGGAGACGTGCTGTCTGCCACGTTCGCCGAGATTCAAGTCATTCCCATCTCTTGCCCTCAAGACAGGGTCAAATCATAAGTTACTGTACCTGGCAAATGATGACCTGCTGTACATATACATATTTTCGAGCGACGGGATAGCAGCTGCACACAACCTCCTACAACAACGGTGCTGCTGACACGAGGCGACCACGAGTCCACCTCACCAGCGCAGCAGCAGCGCTGCACCTAGCTAAGGCCGAGCATGCAGCTAGCGTCATCTATCTCGCGATGGAGAAAGATTTTACCAATTTTCCTTCAGTTAGCTCGTAGGAAATAAAGGACTCGGGATATAATTGCGTACAAACTAAACCGAAACCACTGAACAGTTGAACATTAAAAGTAATGGTGAAAGGTAAGCGAATCCCTCTAGCCTCCTCTAATGAATGATCCATTAGCAAAGATAAATGCTAGCAGAAAACTGAAACAGATTGCAAGCTTTCGACATTGAAGGAGGGTAAAGCCACCCAAGCTCGGACACAACAACGTGCATTATTAAAACAAAGCATTCGTGAGGCCGCCTTAAAAAATATTTATCCGTTGCTAGGAAAGATAAAAGATTCCAAGATGCCTCGATCCCCCCAAAATCTAAGATGAGTTATCGTTCATTTTGCTCGCTCGTTGATCGAGCACAGTCCTAGTCAAGCTATAAATTTCATCAAAATTAATTGCGTTCCATCAGGGTCCCATGATATTTCCTTGCATGGATCTCTCCTGAGCTTGGCGATGGCAAAAGATGCAAGGAACAAGGTCTGGGTAAACGATGATGCACACAGAGCAATGCATGCATGTTCTAGTCCCATTCAACGATGGGGTTTACGTCATTACATTTATATTTAGGCTCCTCTGTTTATGTTTCCACCGCCAGAAGGGCAACTGCAGAAGTGGAGAGGATCCTCTAGCCACAACTTTCCCACAAGACATAACTACAAATCGAAGCGCGATGGTTCCATTTTGCTCCACTGCTAGAGACGCACTTTCTACGCAATTCATCTGTCTGGCACTTTACACCCTCGGATTTCCTTCACAAAACTTCTCGTCTTCCTCGACTCTCTTTAACGCTCCGAAGATGAACCGAGTCTAAAAATATGGATGGTATATGCAACACACCGTGAGTTCTACGATGGGGGGGATCCCGGTGGGAAAGAAGCAGACGCCGATGACACGTCAAGGCGACGTGAAACTGGGACAAAGACTATAAAAATAAGCTGGCTTCCTTCACGTGGCTCAAAGAGGTTGCGCTCAACCTCCCGTGACAGAGTCCCATACGCATGAGAAAACGGGATCGGTTTTCCCATTCTTTGGTTGCAAACTCGGATCGCGTAAGAACAGGTCTTCCCAGACGGTTCCCGGTTCTGGAGTGATCGGTACCAGTCAATTGCGTATTCGTCAGGCCTCACCAACAGAGCAGTTCTGGTTTCCCTTCGGCCAAGAGTCATATCCCAGCCGCATTCGCAATGTGGAACCCGATCCACAACTCGTGTTGCACAATTGGGAAACATATGAGGCCAACTGTCTGCCTCGATAGCTTGCAGGTTTCACGGAAGCACGAAGGGGAAAGCCAAGGAGGAGCACAGCATCGTGTTATTCATGTATACATGAGCAACTCATTTAGGCTCCTCAACACGCGATGTCATTCAATTAATTAAGTCATTAAATTCAATTTATGTCTGCGGTTTAAAAGTAAAAAATATAAACTCTACCATAGGTTTGAAGAAGCACGACTAAAAGGGCGATGCACGGCACTGGCTCTCCCTCAGAATTTAAAATACGACATATACTTCCAGATAATATTAGGGGCCTGTTCCTGAGGAGAGGTTTTTGCTTTTAGATAGTATAAGTTTAGATTAAGTTTAGCAATGGCAAGAAACTATTTTTTTTTCCCGAGGAATTCAAATCCATTTAGATTTAGAATTAGAATTAGAATAAGATTTAGATCAATTTTAGCAGAGACGAGGAACAGGCCCCGGGTCTATGCCAAGAATAGTACATTTCTGGCTTAGTCCTTGATCTTAAAGCTGATGTTGATGACGAAACAGCTTAGTAGAAATTAACCTCTCATCCTCTCCTTCCAAATGTTGCCACCCTAATTCAGTAAATTTTTCTTTCTACGTGATTGCAGAGACTACAAGGTGGACCGAGTTCACAAGACCTACTCTCATGACAACATAGTGCACCAGGAGTACACAGTCAACTCAAAATGCGTACTGCTGGTTCATAATGTTTTTTTTTTTTCCGGTAGTAAAAGAGAAACGATGTTGGATGTGATGCCGATTCTGACGTGGATTCAGCAAAGAACACGAAACGGGAGCGGACGAATGGACCCGCGCTGACTCCCGAAACCAATCACTAGAGCGGGAGACCGAATACCCATGACGTCATCGATGATGTCGACGTGGACCCTTCGTTCTCGTATTTTTGTGGTGTCGTGCGCACTGTCTTCCTTATCTGATTCTAAACGAAGCCAAGATAGGCCACGAATACTACTGCTACTCCTAGCAGCTTCTTTCCTTCTGCACAATCAAACTGTTACTACATCGAATCGATTGCACCAATTATGATACATGATATACCTAAGGCGTGAAAATACGTCAGAGATACAACGCTATGTCCAGGTATACCATAGGCGCCCTATCTCCGTAGAAATGACATAATCCCAACAACTTTTCCTGCTGCTTCATTGATGGAATACTCATATGGCTCATTCCGGTCAAAGTGGTAAAATTGAACATCTAAGGTCACATAACTGGGAAATGATCAAGGGCTCTAGAAATGTGAGGCTACCTACAACGTTTTCCTCTTCAGACTCCTGGTGTGGAGTCAATACTCCCAAGTTCATATTTCATTGGAATGGCAGGGAAATTCATATCTATACTTTCAAACATGGAAATGACATGCTTGAAAGTGAGACAAATGGGCCAAACCCCACTTATGCGAACCCAGATGAGAAAAAGCATAGTTAAGACAACAAGGAAGGCCTTTCTGCATTGGGTCTCGGGAGGATGTCATCCTTAGCTACAAGCCTTCCATTCCACTAATGAAAAACCCAAATGGTAATCAGTTCACATCTTTGCACCATGAAGGTCTTACATACAAGTAAGACCTTCTCTGCTGAATTTCTTGGGACCATATAATGCTTGTAATTGGAAACAAAACGTGGAACTTCCATCAATTCAACTTAGAACCTAAATACATTCATGAAAACACAAATATTCATTCACACTCACATTTAGCCCCAAATGGTCCATATGCAGCATAAGTACAGCATGTCAAGTATGTGCACCAAATGTAGGAAGTGCTCAAGCTAAATTCAGAATGCTCTGACAGGAAATTTCTCTTAAAATCTTGATTACCTCAAAGGCTAGCTTTGAAAAGCCTTAGTTTTTGCAACATCATTTGCTACTTAAAAAAATTAACATTTTAAAGCATTAATTCCATTTTTTTCCCATTTCAATCACCCTTTTAATAAAAATTCATCATTTTCCAGCAAAGTCAATGCTGTGCTAAGACATAATTTCTCAGATGTTACATTCAGATCACCTCCAATACAAAGCAAAAACAATTATTTAGTGCTTGACCATTAGTGCTTGGTTTAATGTGGTATAATGAGACAGGATCAAATACTACATCGAAGCAGACTTTCTCAGTGAAGAGCAATCAGGAAATTTTGACTTAATAATACAATTTAGGTTCAATCATTTATTTATGATGCTTCACCAGACTAAGATCTAAAGTAAGGTTTACATCACACATACAGTCACCATTTGCTCTTGACACGTACACACTGGAAATAA